AGATGCTTTTATATTCCAAAGTCTGTTTATGGTTCCGGAGTCTGTTTCCAAGAATCCTGATATATCGCAGATGGGTGTCTCGCCAGGGTTCGCAAAGGCATATTTGGACTCGCAGACGCGCCACGCGAGTGGTGGCTCAGACTCGCCAGGTCACTTGAATCCCGTGGATGGCAGAGAGATCCACTTGACCAAGCCTCTTGGCTTTTGTGGGATGATCCTGCGAAGCGCACTCGACTTCGAGGCATGATCGTAAGCCACGTGGACGACCTGCTGTTCGGAGGGGACAAGGCGGCTGAGGCATCGTTGATGAGCGTCGGTGACGAGCTCGGCTTCCGCGAGGTTAGCCGCGAGGACTTCGTCTGGTGCGGAAAGAAGTTTTCCCGACGTCCTGACGGATCCGTCGCCATCAGCATGGGTGCCTACCGCCGCAATCTTCGCCCGATCCCTGTGCCGAGGAGCCGGAAGACGGACTTGTCTGCGCCGGTCAGCCCCAGTGAGCACAAACAGCTTCGTGCTTTGCTTGGTAGTTTCCAGTGGTTGGTGGCCCAGCTTCGGTTCGACATGGCCTTTACTGTGTCTTCCCTCCAGGGCGAGAAACCGACTGTGGGGACGCTTCTTCGAGCAAACGCTGCCTTGACCGAGTTCCTGCTTGAGCCCACTACGAGGTCACTTTCCGCCCTGTGAACCCGTACGCCGGAGGCCTGGTTGTAGTCACGGACGCCGCCCTGGGCAACGTCTCCGTTTCTGGGTCTGCTGAGGAGGCCCCGCTTAACAAGGTGTACAGCCAGGCGGCGTACTTTGTCCTGCTTGCGGACGAGGCCCTGCTTCGTGGAGAGCCAGGTCAGTTCAACCTGCTGGACTGCAGGTCGCACCGACTGGCGAGGGTATGCCGGAGTTCGTACTCGGCAGAGCTTCTTGGAACGGAAGAGGGCGTGGACGCTGCTCAGCTTGCTCGAGGTTTTGTAAGCCTTGTTCGTGGAGGCAGTCTGCACCGCTCCTACGTCGACGCCGAGATCAACTCCGTTGGCCTGGTGATCGTCGTTGATGCCAAGGACGTCCATGACAAGGCCAGTTCAGACACGAGCTCTTTCGGCTCGCAGAACACTAGTGTGCGTTGGACAGCCACGTCCAACATGTTTGCCGATGCCGGTACGAAGCACATGGACCTGGGACACCTACGTCGCACTTTGAAGTCCGGCAGGTGGAGCATTACGTACAGCCCGGCCTTCGTCAAGCAAGTCTCAAAAGGAAAGAAGGCTGCTGCTGCTTCCTCTACTCCTACTCCGGCGGCTTCGCTCCCTGGAAAAGCGCTGGCGCCGGACGATCCCATGATGGGATTCCTCCTGAGGTTCGGCGAGCAGCGTGGCTGGCACTCGTTGCCTGACATGGGGATCAACGTGTCCCACGGTGCAAAGAGCTTTAGAGGGCCTGAGCCCCGCTTTAGTGCTGCTGCTTTTCCTTTTCGCACGACCTTTGGGCGATACGAGCTGCCAACAGGCGAGTATCAGTGGAGGCTCCTTGAACGGGACTCTCCGTATGCCCGAGAAGTGAATCAGCATAAGAGGCTCGAATTAGCGACTCCTGTGTTGGTCACTTGCTTCACGAAACTTGCAGACGGCAATTAGGCGTGACATTCCAATGCTTTTGCAACATAATAAAGTAAGGGGGATGTGTAAACTCTACCCGTGCAGCATTGGATGTCCCACCTGATTGCTTGGTGACCGCTACTTTTAGGCCTTCAGCCTTACTTGTAGCTGCGGCATAGGAAAAGGAGTCACTTGCATGGCTTGCTGTCTTTGCTGACTGCACGCGGCTGTGATTCCACACGTGTTGAGCTGGAGTGTTTGTACTTGACTTTCACGCCGACGTCTTAGGCTGAGGAGGAGGCGCTCAAGAATGAGACTATGAAGGACTCAGGCACGTGGTCTGATGCACTTTTTGTGTCGCCCACTTCTTAAAGAGCTTGCAACCGTATATCAGGAAGATTCTTAGAAGGACTTGCAACCTAGGCAAATGCTGGCGCTTCCTGCTGCAATCAGAGCAGACGACTGCAAGTTTGATTGTCAAGCCAGCTGAAGAAGACAAAGAACACCACACGAATGAGTTGCACTGGCTCATAGAATTTTCACTTAAAGACCAGACGTGCACTGTGTTTGGCTGATTCCCAATCCTTCAATCCAAGCCTTCTCATGATGGGGGGGTTTTCCTGCCCTGTGCCAGATCCCTTCTTTGCGGACAGCACTCTGGATCGGGCCGCGTATGATCCTGAGCTATTTTCGACATGAGCTGCAAGAATTGCGTCAGTCACAGTGCCACGCAAATCCACACTCTGGTGGGACGTGACCGGTGATAGTGCAATCGGCAATAATCAAAGTCATTGTTGGATGTTCAAGCGATGCAAGTGTGACCGTGTTTGCGTATGGACCTGCCTGGTCTGTGGCAAAGCATGTTCAACTCGCTTATCCACTCGGACGTTCCACGCTGAGCTCCACGTACACTGATTGTAGCTTCACCAGCTCCGCACCATCTGCAGCCGACCCGACTCTGCATGCAAAAGCATCGAGCCCATTGTTCTTTTGCTCCCTTGCTCAATGATCGGGCCTTGTATCAGAATTCTGCAGCTAGGCATCCTTGGTGCACCCTCCAAGTCTCTCGAACCCTACTAACACCTAATCAAGCCGAGACCTCATAGAAACAAGGTGCTTGACGCAGCTGTTGCAGAGGAGCTTCACATGCACAGGGTCTGGCAGAACTTCCAATGTGAAAGTTACCGTGCTACACAATTCGTTTTGAGCGGTGTCTTGCGGACGACTTGCAAAATTTCATTGTAGGCAGGGCGGTCAAAGGTTTTTGCGGCTGGGCTTGCACATGCGCCGGACTGCTCAAGGTGCAGATTGTATTCGCAAGGGGCTTATTACGCCCCGAAAGGCACTTAGGCAGGTGGTTCTGTTGAAGAGGCATTTGAAGTTTCCTAAAACTGTGGCTGTACAGGCAGAGACGGGTTATTGTTCGTTGCTAACAGGCTTTGTTCTGGGCTGCTAGGAGAAATTTCCAGAACACTCAGCCGATGTTGCTTCACAGACCGTCAGCCATTGTAGTCAGCTGCCCAGCTTGCCGCATGTCTGGTTGAGTTGATTGATGACTCGGGTGCGCGAAGCCTGCTCTTCCGAGATGGATCCTACCGTCAATGTGCTGCGGAGGCATGCGGTCGACCTTCAGCAAGGGTGCGGCTAGAGGGGCTCGTTCGTACAGTCAAGGTTGAGGCCCCCATGCTAGGTTCAGAGAAGCTCGAGCAGGGAGATTTTGAAACCTGTATGCGACAAGCACGGTCAAAGGTTGCATGTAGATTTCCTGCACTGCAGGGCACAATTTACTTAAACTGAGAGGGGACAGCTAGGCGCAGAGCCCAGGTCCACTTTCAGGGCCTATCGGGATTCAGCCTTTGACCTGTACTCCCATGAGACACCGATACTTAGCTGTCAGCATCTCTGCCAGGCAGGAGTCCCTGTAGTGTTTCTTCAAAATGCATGGCCCGAAAAGAGGCTCCATCGAAGCTTGGAGTGGCACTTGGGTGAAAGAACGCAGGAGCCTGCGGGTTGCAGAGCTGGCTTCAGCATCATGGGTACTGCAGTGAGGGTTTGTTTGGACTTTGGAATATAAGGGGGTTATGTATCGGTGAATGCAAAGGCAAGGGGCTCACGTCATTATTTGTTCAAAACCCTTGCGTTCTCACCTCAACTTCCCTCAGGCAGTTTGAGGCCGCTCTCGTTTGTATCCAATTGTCACGCGCCCGATCTGAGCTTGCTTTTCAAAACCAGGACATTCCAGGCGCCATCCGATTTGACTTGGTGATCAGTGAGGGGCAGACACTGCAGCAGCGTTTTGTGGCACACTCAGAGTTGAGAGGACCGCGCATCTTTCCCCCTGAAAAGCGCTAGCAAAATCGTCTGCAGTCTGCAGTTTCGAGGACATGCGGGATGTTGCCACCCTGTCCTTCGTTTTGGGCCTGCAATGCATGTGTAAAGGCTACAAGAGTCACAATCTCCACAGACTTGCGATGGCGCCGCTAGGGCAGGTCAGGATGTGTTGAGGGTTTGGGCCTGGACTTGTCAAATGTCTGTCCTACGGAGATTTCTGAGGAAGTGAGCTAACATCTGTGGGTTGGGGTTTGGGGTTTGTTAGACCACGTCTGCTTGTTTGATGTGGGGGTTAGTCTTTTGCTGACCAGAGCGGCGGCTGCTTTCCAAGGTCCAGTCCTTGCAGCCCAGTCCCGGCTTCCCAGAGTTCTTTGATGGCGGGGCTGCAGTACCTGCGTTTGTTGCAGTTGATTCTGCAAGGGATTGTGCAGTGGATGCATCGCGTTCACGTTGGAATGAGCATGGTTGTCTCACAGCACTACTCTTCTTAAAACGTTCAGCGAAAAAGAAAGGAACGCTGTTGTTTGGGCTGCTTGCCTGAAAGACTGTCAAGGCAACCATGCTTCTTGAGGACGTAGGGCTGTAATGGTTTGGACGCCTAGAATCCAGCCGTTGTGCTGCTGTCACCTCAACATGCAGCGTAGGTAGCACTAGGACGGAGCTGTTGCCTTGTTTTTCTGCGTTGTTTTGCTCTGCTTTCCTCTTCTTGGCCGATTCCATCTGCTTCCTCATAGGAACTCAAGTCCTGCCAGTGTCATTGCCTGTCAGGCATCTTGCATCTCAACGAGAATGATGTCGGCTCTCGAATCGAGCTGTTCTTCAGCTTGACACTGGAAGAGGCTTTCAGCTTCACTCACCAACAGCAAACCGGGAGTGTCGGGTGATATCCACGCCAGCTTTTTTCACTGTGATCTGGAAATCTGCGAGTGCACATCTGTAGAGGTTTAACGGTGGATTTCGGGTAGTCGTTGGGACTGGACTTAATAATTCGGAAGATTTGCATTGCCGAGATTACTGGCATCTACAGGGAAGATCTGCTTCCGCATATCATGGTCCAAATCAACCGACAATTTGAGGAAACACATTTTGGCCTCCGCGTCAAGGGTTTGCAACGTTTGAAAAGACCCACAGCATGGACATCAATACCCTGTACCTCCTTTGAAGATCCTGTTTGTGGCGTGCAATGCAATGTAATGCATGTGTGCGTATGTGTCTGCGAGTGTCGGCACCATGATCTGAAACTAACCTCAAGAGTCCGATTTCTAGATTTTCCTTCCAACCATGCACCAAACCGGTGTTGCAAGCTAGGGACAACAGGCCATCTTGCCCAATGAAGCTATGGGAGATGTGGTGGAAGCAGAACGGGGCGCACCCCAACCCCAAAACTAGTCTGAGTGGCATGGGATCGTGCGGGCGCTCAGCACGCCTCTGGGCGGCGAGCGGCTTGACGGGCAGCGCGAACACCTCCTCAGCAGCGCTTGCGCGGTGATGGCTCGGACCCCATGACAGTTGACTTGGACCAACCCCGGCGCCTCCACTGCTCTAAAGCGAATTGCCCTTGCTCTGATCCCGCTGCATCTGACCACGCTTCGCCACCACGTGGATGCACATGCAGAGAAAATCCAAACAAACTGGCTACGCTGTGCCCAATGCTTGAGCCTGGGAATTATGATGACCTCCTGGAGTTCTCTGAAATACTGGCCACAAGCACCGCCACCTGAACAGCGTTTTTTGTTATGTAAGGGCTATGATGGAAGTGGTTCTGCAAGAGTGCTCGCGCAGCCTCTTGCCTGCAGGGCGTAGTTGTGGCGTGGTTTCGCGTAGGCACGAGTAATCGTCTCGTCCGCGTAGTCTCTGTAGTTGGTATGATTTGTGAGCAAGAAGAGGTTCGTGCTGCATAGAATTGTCAATAGCCCAGGAATGCCGCGTAGTCCGCGTAGGCAGCACGATAGCAAGAGTGTGTTCGTGCAGTCTGTTCTGCAGGGAAAACAGCAGGCCGCGTAGTTCGCGTAGGCAGACTATCTTACTATAAAGACTTTAACCTTACAAAAAAAATAATCCTCACCTTGCGGCATGTGCCCAAGGGCAAACACTTGTGGGGGCAAGTCCTTCTGCGATCACTGGCGGCCACTGTCCATTTTAACAGCCTTCAGCATGGAAAGAGTTCCTGATGCTGTTGTGCGTGCTCTGCTCCTGCACGGGGAGGAGAAGCGGCACAAACGTGCAGCGGCGGCCTACACTGCCTACACCCTGAGCAGGCTCTCCCGCTGGCTGGAAGGAGAGCCAGCGAGCCTTTGGGCAAACCGCTCGGCGGGCGCAGCGAAGCACTTTCGCCCTGCTCAACCTCAGCCGCTGCTCCACAGGACTGCCATCACCTCCGGCACTTGAGCCGGACCCGACTGCGACAGCTCTACGCAACTTAATTGTGGGAAGGTGGGCTCCTAAAGCCAACTGACTGCCGTCACCAACCTCTTTTACCTGGCGGCGCGAGGCTCGTGACTCTACCTAAGCCCCAAGGCATCCGACACATAGCAAGTGGAGAATTCTCTGCGCAGACTTGTTGGCAAGTGCCTCATGGCCGCAGTCAAGCAGGACGTTCGGGAGTGACGACGACCGGTCAAGTGAGGAGACTGCTTGGGAGCTTCTCGCGGCGCTCGAGGGCTTCGCGATCCCCAAGTTGGACTTCGCCTGCTTCGTGCTTGCACGGGGCATGTGCGACTGATGTCTTCCGCTGCAACCCGTCCTTGGCACAGCATGGGGCCCTACAATCCTGTGACTTGACAAGGGCGTGTGCCATGTCAGCGGGTGGGGTGAGAGTTTGCCCAATCGGGCCCGGGACTGTGTTTCAGCTTTGACCCCGCCACGCCCCCGGGGCCGGCATCATCAACTCACAGGCAGCCCTGGCCAAGAGACAAAGGGACTTCTGCGGTCTGCTGGATGCAAATGGTTGGAGGCGGCAATTGTTCCCCGGCGACCCCAATCATGCTGGTGTCCGAGTCGCCGTCAGATGCCAGGGCGCTCTCGGCCATTGTGGCCCGTGGACGCTGCGGTGTGGATCCTGGTTTTTGTTGCTGAGCTGCACTGAACTTGCGATTGGGCATGCCAGCGGCATCCTCCAATACCCGGTGCCTTCGCGGCGATGATATCTTGGATTCTCTTTCGCGCTACGTGGGAGTATGTGCTCTTATTGGCGGGGAGCACACTCTCCCGACACCACGCTGCTCGCGACTTATTCTTCCAGGGGGCAGGAGAAACCTGGACTCGTCCTGCCCCAGTGACCCGAAGAGAGCCAGCTGGCGCGCCAACAAACCGCTGATATTTTCATCCCTTGCCTGGAAGGACTCCATTTGCATTCGACCTCGCCATCTCTGGCCCCCAGCGGTTGGAGTCCCTTGCTCAAGCATGGGCTGATGCTGTCAGCCCCACGCTGCCATCAAGGTCAATCACCAGGGTGTGCATGCGCCAAGGAATCAATTTTGTCCCCATGGTGCAGCATAGAGCAACGATTTTCATCTCAGTTCCCTTACCAATCACCGCATGATGATGACCAGGAAACAGACAACGAAAGGGAGTCCAGCATTTCTGCAGATAGGGACCGAAAATACATACTTTGAGACCCGGATTGAAGCCATAGTGAAGACAAGCAGTGAAAAGAAGCTCTGCCAAAGATAGTGAAGGGAAGCACTGAGTAGAAGCATTCAAGAGCATGCGACTATTGGAAAAGAGAATAGTAAGACAGTAAACGGAATACGAGTGGCGATTGTAGTAGTGATGGGGAGAAGTATTACTGCAAGTGCAAGAACTTAATGATCATGACCATAAAGATTGCACGCATGACAAGAGCGATAGAAATAAAGATGACAGTACTACTAGCGCGCACAAGAATCAAGAATGACGGTTGCCTCTAGCAACATCAGTATTGTTGTGGTGGACAATTGAGATGTATGAATGCTCCACAAAAAGTATTTTGTAGCACTGTAAAAGTCGTTGCGAATATTTGATTGAGTAGCAACATGGAACAATGATTATGGCAAGCAATAACAGCACACTGAGACAGAGTAGTAACAGTGTCACTAGCAAGCTAGCAAAAAAACACGTAGAATACCGGCGATAATGCGGATGACAGTATCCACGCCATCAATGATTTGAGGATCACGGAGGTTTGGCTTCATTGTTTGTTTCTTCAACGCGGGGGCGTTGAAGGGGAGGGGCGCCTGCGAAATAGTCTGATCAACAGCAGCTCGTGCTTCTAATCTCCTCTCCTTGCCATGATGTTTCATATCATCATCATCATCATCATCGTCGTCATCATCATCATCATCATCATATGTCATATATCATACATACGAAAAGCAATGGCCATGCAATCACGGTGTTCTTTTTGATATCATGTCCCGTGCTTCTCGGTGTCGTTCTTCCTCACTACTGCTGTAGGAAAGTCACCGTGCAATTGCTGAGAAGCAGTTCTCGTGGGCAGAAGAGAAGCGATGGCCTAATTTGTGGAGCAATGATGGTATATCATGGAAAAGTATCGAAAACCACAAACGATAGTCGGAAAACAATGGGGCCATGAAGGAATTTCACGAAACGATGGAGCATCGTGAATAGGATGGAAAACCACCGAACATGATGAAATACAAGGAATGCAGGAGGAAACACACACAAGTCCACAACTCATTCTGCATCTTTGTGCGCTGGAAGAAGAGCTCGACTTCCGCAACAAACAAATTCTTCTTGTGAAGGCGCATTAAACAGCCCTGCTCATCCTAACACTTTTGATCCCGGCCCCCATGGTCGTAGGAGCCTGAGAGAGCCCCGATGAAAGTCGGTGAGTGGAAGGCTGGACAGGGCTGTGTCTGGGGTGTTGCATTGCTCGGGATAGTGGGTCACTTGCCTGTGAAGTATCCGAGGGATGAAAAGATGCTCATGGCAAGTCCACCATAGGAACCGCCGCAGACCCTCCTTGCACTGAAGCTTGCAATTTGCGCTGTGGGGAGCTCAACAGTCAACACCTCCTTGATCAGTCGTAAGTTTCGTATCCAAGCACCTTAGCAGCTTACACACGTTGACACACGACTATTCATGGTGAGCAGAGTCCGCTGCGCCCCTTTTTTCTCTATGCCAATCGTGCTACATATGCAAACAGGAGGTAGATGCAGATGTGCAATCCAAAGAGTTACTGCCCCTGCTGCCAGGTGGCTCGCCCACATGAAACACTTCACTCCTAGCTCTCTGCCGGCGATTGCTTATGTGTTATGTTTGGTAGAACGAAGTCTGGCATGACATCGATACAGGTTGTGCAGTTGTGCATTGCAGAGATTGAGGCGTATATGCCTCATTAGCTTGTTAATGCAATTGTGTAGCAGGGGAGGTTTTTTCCAGCTGGTGAACACAGTCCCGGACTGTGCTTTGCACTGCTACGGCTGGATGTTGTAACATCGTAGACATTCGTAGACCACAGGTGAAGAAGACTTGAGCAGATGAAATGCGGACAGTGTTCACCGAAGCTTCCTGCTGTCCTCCCCGTACTGCCCATGCTAGTGACATTTTGTGACAATGTTCCCGGTGTCCAAGAAATCTCAGGACATCAGAAGGGGCCGGCCTGAAGACCAGGCTGCAACTGCGCCGAAACTGGCCAGACCTTCATAAGTCTAGCTCTGGATCCAAAGTCCGTCGAAGTCTTATTGAGAAACAAGTTTGCGGGTTTAAGCCATGAGCACAGTGTGCTGCATGAAGCCTTGGGAGACGTGGCGAATTCTGACACGGCATGCGTTCGTGCAGAAGGGATTAAGGCCAGTGAGGAAGTTTCCTGAGGGCGGGGGGCAGTCCATTCTGGCCAAGATGTCGGGCTGCAGCCACAGCTTTCCAGTACACAAGCCTGCGCTTGAGCATGACTCCTCCCCGAAACCCGCCGAGAGTCCAGAGCGACATTCTCGATGCCCCAGAGTCCAGGCAGAACGAGAGAGATGAATGGTAATTAGCTGACAGTGTCTTGTGTCTCGAGGCCGCAACACCCGCATGGCACAATGGCTCGACTACAGGTCCGTGATGTTTTCTTTCTTCGTGTCTGTGTGCAATGCATGTTCTTTAATTTTTTGGGGTGGCTATGGTAGATTGAACAGAAGCGTGCACCCGCTTCAGCTGCCGGGCTCCGAAGAGCAGCTTAAGTTGCCAAGAGGCACTTCTCTGTTTTCCTTCTGTGGTATTGATCGTGCGAATTACGATGTCACGATGTCCTCCCCCTCACCCATACCTCCGCTTCTCCCCAGCACCCATACCTTGCACTTGCACAAGCGCGCCTTGCCTCTCTCCGCACCGTTTCGAGCGTGACGAGTCAGGGCTTTGGATTTAGGGCCACGGGGGTTTGGGGCTTGGAGGCTCAAGATTGTAGCCTTTCTTTCCTCCAGAGGTTGAGCTGGTGCCTTAGTGTTAAAGATTTTTAGGGGTGGATTCAGGGTTCACAGCTTATGGTCTGGCTTAGGGCTCGGGGTGCAAAGCGGGTCGGGATCTAGCGTTTTGGGTTTGGATCTTGATGCAGAGGTTCAGGATTTAGCGTCGGCAGTTGGGTTCATGCTTTGGAAGTGACTTTTGCTAGAGTGTTGATTAAGCTTACACAGATTCCAGTAAAGCTTGCCAACATCTAGTGCCTGTTCATATAGTAGATTTAAGACATGGCTATGACTCGGACTTACTTGCATTTATCAAGATTTGCATGTCCTGGGGGCTGGCGTCATGCGGACTTGTGTTGCATGGGCATAGTGGCTCTACAGACAGATGAACGATCGAACCATGATTACTGTTAGGGGATCAATCTGAAAAATACATGCCTGCTCATGAACGACCACTAGAGACCATGCGCTTTGTCAGGGTCCGCGTCACCATCTCTGATGCCCGTATGCTGGTTGGTACCTTCATGGCATGGCGCTCAGCAGTGCTCAAAGACCTACTCCTTGCGCCAGGATGGCAGGTCCCCAGCCTGCCATTATTCTGGGCCCTTGCAGGCTCACAATCTGGGCAACATGAAGACTAGCAGTGGGAGAGCGATCTGGGTATCTGTGCAAACTGTAGTTTAGAAGGGATCGCCTGAGCTTGGCGGGCAGTCATGTCGGCCACAGAATGCTTGATGCTGAGAGCTGGAAATACCCCACAAACAAATCAAAAGCCTATGCGCGGAGCAGCGTGGTGCAGCATGAGGCCTTTGACAAGTACATGAACGTGGTCCTCGCAGACTGTGAGGAGTTCCGGAAGATTAAGCCCAGCCAGCAGATTGATACGAAATGTGTGGCTACAACTTTTGGTGCCTCAAGCCACTCTTCGCATGAGCCTAGTTGTAAACTCTTTTGCAGCGCTTGTCATGCGACAGGGAAGATCTGGCTGAAGATGCGTGTGTGGTGTGGAGAATGTCACTTCTAGCCTGATGCTTCCAGGCTCAAGGAGATCTGTCCTCCCGCGCTTATGGCTGAGGCGTTGACCTGTTGCTCGGCAACGGGGGACGGTGAAAATCCGGAGGATTGGGAGCTGGTCGAACGTGGCGAGGCTTGGACTCAGCAGAAGGAGGCCCGCGATCTCTTCCACAAGACTTGCGAGGAGGACAAGCACCAAGCTGCTGAAGCCCTCCGCGGTCTGTACAAAGCCTCAGCAGAGCTAGACAGGCTGCTTACGGATGAGAATGGCATCGACGATGTTCATCGGGCCTGCTGCGTCCCTGGAACTGCCGTGCCTATTTCTGCGATCATGCCCAGGATGCATCTTCTCATCTGCACAACAAAAGAGCATGGCTTCCAAGATGGACAGAACGTTATCATTACAGGCCTGTCCTTGAACGATGGGGCTCCACAGTCAGCAGCCTGCACTGTGAATGAGCTTAGCAGAGACCATGCCTCCTGCCTGACTAGCATGACGTTAGTAGCTGGCGAATCTTGTTCAGCCTTTGCAAAGAGACCAAGAGATGCCAAGCTCAGGTGGTTCGTTATGTGGATGAGCTTACGCTGTCGCTCTCAGGCCTTGCAAAGTGCCCCAGTGAAGCGGATGAAGTCAGGCAGTTCATTGACTTGACCCACGCAGAGGTGCAGCTGTCCATCTCATCATGGGGCCTAGGGCGCACACCGGTCACCCACAGCGTTTTCCAGGCCATTGCGCAGACGGCAAAGGCTTCTGGTCTAGGCCGTGCGCTGGAGGCAGCATTGGCGACCGTGCGTACGGCCTGTTGCGGGGTGCAGCACTGTGCAGAGGCGCTTGCAGGACACCTGGAGCACAGGCAGCGAACATCTGATGGCTCGGGAGCTGTGAG